CTGTTTCTCTGCACCTTGACTTGTGTGATTGTGGGATGAATGTACTAGTTATTTTAATAAACATGTTTATGTAGGTCCTATAGCTATGTGTCACAAGACGCCAAGAGAAATGATAACAACGAATGAGCCCGAGTTTCTTAACGAAATCAATTAGTCTAAAACAAAATGATCACATTTAATTCTCACCTCTCATAAGCTCCCGAATATCTCAGTTGAGGATCATCTAACAGCTCCTTGTAACCTTTACGCTCTCTTTTCCCTTCTAATGTACATCTAACATAAATATAATCAAAATCACCTTGAGTGCTCAAGGCTTTACAGTCACCTAAATATAGCTGGAACATACGCTCAGATTGCCTTTAGTATGACCATATTGTTATTTTACCATTCAATAACACACAAACTCTGCCTCTTTCTTTGTGCCCTGGGGTGGGGAATAAGACGCCAAATGAAGAGAAAATGGCAAATCCCCAGGGTGTGCCTGGCCCGGCGGGGGAGGGGGGGGGGGGGGTGTGTGTTGGTAACAGTAGGAATTGAACCATGCATTATTCGCTGCTGTCAATCATAGTGGACGTAGGGAGGGGGGGGGGGGGGGGGGGGGTGCAGATAAGAAAACTTGGTCAGTGTTGGTGTTTGCGTTTGTCTTTGCGTGATATTTGAAATTCCCCTTTTTTTCAGAAGTAAAGGGTTACTTACATCTGTCTATCATCAGTTTATAAAATATAAGTCTTAAGCTTAATCTGATGACTGACAGACAGACAGAGCAAGTGAAAATGTCGTCACTTTCAGTCCCGGGCTTTCGGTGAATTATGTCATTATGTCCACGATCTCGAAATTCTTTTCGAGAAACTAAAATAACACATTTCACTTATTCCAACTTACACTTTAAGCTCAAGATTTGTGTCCAGGTCACAACTGTAAACATAGTAAAACTTTTCTTGGTTCGAGTTCGGATCCACCATGTTGTTTTCCACCTCCCGCCACCTACGCCTGCGTATCAATTTACTAGCGGTGATTGCATGGCAATATGCGCTAAGACTGACTGCGCAGTTTTATTTTTCAACATGGCGGACGAAGTGTGCAGAAAATTTTAAACAAGATAATTTGTTTAAAAAAATGACTCGCTTTGCTCGTGCTTCAAAGAAGACAAGTCTAGAAGCAACTCCATGGCACGAGCTTGTTAGTTCAGCTGGAAAGTTCACTTCCCTTTACCTTCAGAGTAATTTTTACAACAAAACAAAATCACGAAAATTATACACGTGTTTTGAATCTCCATAATAAGCTTATAGTTTTATTTTAATCAAGAATTTGTTTAACTAGAAGTGGACTGTTTATTATTTTGTTGAATAGGTGACCATGCTTCGACTAAAGTGGACAAAACAGTAAGTAAAGACAGGTCCAACTCTGCCGAGAAGACAACTAAAATTGCTGGCGAGAAAAGAAAGAAGAACTTCAATCCTGATGATGAGAGCCTCACCTCAGTGAAGCCCAAGATTGCCAAGAAATCAGAAAATAAGACGTTTCAAAGTACAGGAGCCAAAGATGAAGAAAATGCGATAACTGGACCTAGAAAGAAAGATACAAAGCAAAGAACAGATGGAATAAAAGATAATAATCTAAAAATGAAAAAGAAGAAGTTTGGACCAAAAAGTGATATGCGTAAAAATATGACAAAAAACTCAAGAAAATTACCTACTGATGCTAGCAGGACAGAAAGTTTGGACAAAAAACACGAGGCAAGGAGGAAGAGGAGAGCAAAAGGAAAGGTACATAGTAATCAGATCTAAACGCAAACTGCACATCCATACAGCTGGCACACAAAACATGTGCGGCCCCTGCAAAGCCCCGTATATGCAGACCCATGCGCGTGGCCACCAGGGAGAGCCGCTGACCACCATTGGCTTGAGTCTCATCCTGTTCACCCCTAGTGAGGCATAAATTAAGGCAGCATTGGCTCGATTTTAACTTAGCTTAAATTACATTAGTCACATTTAAATAGGCCATTTCCAAGTTGCCGTTTGCCTCTGTTTCAAAATGAGTCCTGTGCACAACCTTTCATATGGAAATGAGTTTGATTTGTAAGACAATGAACTTGTGAGTAAAACTCATTTCCATAAGAAAGGTTGTGCACCAGGACTCGTTTTGAAACAGAGGCAAACGGCAACTCGAAAATGGCCTATTTTATATAACTAATACTAAAGACTAAGACAAGACTTGAGACCGGGATGGGGCAAAAGTTTCTGGATCTTTATTAACCAAGAGAAAGCGAGCAAACCAGAAATTAAAAAAACCCTGGGATAGTGGGGGGGGGGGGGGGGGGAGGGAAAGGCTTGCTCGCTCGATTACAGAATGATAGCTTAGTACAAAGTTCACACAACTAAATATACAACAATAGACAAAGATCAATTCATGCACTAGGTTTCAGGTATCAAATTGACAGCTGATACCGTAGTCTACAATCTTAATTAAACATTTTGACAAGTCAAAACAACATATTTTATCATAAATGTTTTGATTTTGTTATTGAATATTTTAAATCATTGTTTAATATGTAATTCATCATTAGTAGTGGAAGCTACACCTGTGTAGAAAACATTGATTTGAAGAGCTCTTATCATTTCATAAAAGTAAAACTATTTTCCCATATATTCATTCATGACAATGCAGACATGTTTCCATTGCCGCCAAACTGGACACTTGGTTGCTGAGTGCCCATTGGCTCAAAACACTGAGATGGGTGTCGGCAACTGCTACAAATGTGGATCCTCTGAACACACAACTAAAAACTGTAACAGCAAATCAACAACTGAGGCAGCAAGTGGATCACAGACTGACATGTTTTTGTTCTGTTCACACTAACCTGCAAATGCCAGCATTCAGTTATAGAGTGGTTAAGTGTGATGTCACAAATTTTCAAATTATTTTTATCAAGCCGCAAAATCCCATCTTTAGATAAAGATTGCTGCAGTATTATCAGCCACAAAATTTCAACTTGTTAGCACAAATAGAACAGAAGATATGAGATTCAGAGTTTGGTACTGTCCCATACAAACCTCTCTAATTTTGAAGGGTTTGTATGGAGAAATAAAAACCTTACGTGCCCATATCTCGGCCGCAAATTGCAATGCAGAGCTAATTTTTGGCAAGTGGAAGTTTTTTGGCATGCTTCCTTCTAATAGCTGATCAAATTTCATAATTTCGCATAACTCTATATTTTCTCTGCTACAATAAGTCACACCCAGGGTGGATCCAGGGGGGGGGGGGGTGGTGGGGGGGTGTGTGTGGATTGGGTGGAAAAATGGATGTTCAGCAACTTATTTCCATGCAAATCCTAGAATTACATTTGGCAAAAAAACTTGCTATACAGTCGCTAAACTGGTACATGTAGCTGCGTCTGATCCAACATATGTACAGACCATACTTGTACTTGTGTAATCATATGTCTTTTCATTGACCAGTATAATGTTGTTGCCTTTAGAAACAGCCTTTCCTTTCGCCAAGTGTTTTATCTGTGGGGAAAGTGGCCACATAGCAAGAGCATGTCCTGACAACCCTAAAGGACTTTATCCAAATGGTAAGACTTACTCACGAGTTCAGATAATTATTATTGTTTTTTACTTCTTTGAATGAATGATGTAGTATACCAAATATTACAGTCGACCCTCCGTACAGCGGACACCCTCGGGACCAGAAAAGGTGTCCGCTTAAGAGAAGTGTCCGTTTATGGGAGGTTAAAAAATGTAATGTTTGTAATGTAGCTGGGAACATGACCAAGTGTCCACTTACGAGAGGTGTCTGCCTACGGGAGGTGTTCGTTAGCAGAGGTTCGAAAAGTTCTGATTATCTGCCTGTCTGACATTCATTGCTTTGACATGTACATGTACATGTTTAGTCAACTCCATTATTGTGCATAAAAAACATAGCGGCTGGCATCCAAACTTTGAGGATGCAGTTGTTGTCAAGGGATTCTATCTGACACTTGCAGTATTTTAAGTTAGGATGCAGTATCGGCTCTCTTTTGTCTGTTTGTACAAGCAAGTTGTGCTAATGCTCTTTTAATCCTGTTTCCAGGTGGAGGATGTAAAATGTGTGGTTCAGTGGAACATTATAGAAGAGACTGCCCTGATCTGATGCAACAAAATAAAGGTAACAACACTTGTAACTCCATTTGTTTTCCTTGCAATTATTTTGTAAACTGTCTTCAACTTAGTGACTGATTTTTTCCATTTCTTTGCCTTAGTTTCAGTGACCACTGCACATGCTCAATATGTCAAAAATAAAAAGGGGCATTACAGTGCAGATGCCGAGCTGGAGGATCATGGAGGTACATCTCATAGAGCACCAAAGAAAAAAGGACCTCAAGTTGTCAAGTTCTAATACTTACACTGAAGGAAAAAAGTCCCTTTCATATATTGTGTACATACATTTTTCTCTTTTATGTTTCCTTGTGTGATAATGTTGTGTTTGGAAGATTGTGTAATACTGGTAGATGTTTTCCAGGTAACTTGTAAAATTTGTTCACAAAATACAATCCAAATAATATTATGATTGAATGAAGTACATGTTGCTGTCCCGTCCTTTTTTGGCATGGGAATAGCAGTTCATATAACACTAAACGTACCCTTATTGCATCTAACTTGTGCAAAAGGTAAGATAAAGTCTTCATGAGCCAAGTGGCCCACAACTGCCAGAGCTTATCCCGATTTCTGTAAAATGAAGTGACTAGAAGTATTGTTACTCCCCTGGATGGGATGCTAGTCCATCACAGGTTACCCCCCAACCCCCAGCAGTTTATCGCTGGTACCCATTTATACTCCTGGGTGAAGAGAGGCACTGTGAGTAAAATGTCTTGCCCGAGAGCACAACACAATGTTTATACTCCTGGGTGAAGAGAGGCACTGTGAGTAAAATGTCTTGCCCGAGAGCACAAGACAATGTTTATACTCCTGGGTGAAGAGAGGCACTGTGAGTAAAATGTCTTGCCCGAGAGCACAAGACAATGACCCCAGCCAGGATTTGAACCCGGACTGCTCGGTCCAGAGTCCAGTGGCGCACTAACCATTAGGCTATAATGTCTAGCCTACGTTACTAATCAGGGTCATTATGGCTTACCAGAGCATATCCAAGCCACAAGGAGTCGCGACTTGCAAGCCTCCTAGGTCGTTTATCCCACGAAAAAAGCAAAATCAGGCTACATATTGTATATAATGTGTCTTGCACCCCTAACGTTTCCTTGGCAATATCTCTGGTATTGTATGAATTTGTCAAAAGAGTTGTTCTAGCTGGTACAAGTTTTGACTTTCTAATGACGCTGGCATCAAAATGAAAGCAAAACTGAAGTTGTCACTCAGTCTATCACTGCAGCTTCAAAAAGTGCAATAAATGAATCAGAACTAGAAATACTATGATTATCAGTTGAGTAAGGCGCGCGGGAAGTTTGGTGACAATGTTTTTGCATTAAAACTACGTTGTTGCATGAGCAACTGGCTAGGTTTCTAATGGTAACCCAGACTTTCTGTCTGTTACTGACGTCAATGGTAACAAAGTGTCAGCGACACACAGGTTACCATTGGAAACTAAGTCAGTTGCTCATGGTAACAACGTAGTTTTAACCTGTAAACTTTGTCACCAAACTTCCATCGCGCCTTACTCAACTGATAAATTATCGTAGTAACATAGCGGCGGCAAGTAGGAGGTAAGTCGAATAAGCCAATTAATTTTTGGTCTTGAACCTGATTTACAGGAAATTAACATATTATTTAACTGGAAACATGGAAAATGTTGTCCAGAGGTAGGGCACTCCAATATAAAAGTGACAGAGGTGATCGTTGTACCTTTTAGGAGTTGGTGCTGCTTAGGGTGTTTAAGAGCGTATGCCTGTAATAACCAAGAATCGAAAATCAGTGGCGAAAATTCGAATTTTTTTTTATTTCGCCAAAACATCCCTTTGGGTGAACTAGTACAGGGAAAAATATCAAAAAGTTCCAACGATTTTTTTTTTTGGCTGAATTTGAGAAAAGTTCGAAAATTATGCAAATTAGCTGTTTTCGCCTTGCGAAACGGCCGAATCATCACGCAACTTTAGGAAGATGGTGAAAGCGTAAAACATTCCCAATGGACATCAAACTTTGTAGACGTTTTAATATATTGCTGGACATTAAATGCATTAGAAAATATTTTAAAAATTATATTTTTAAAACAATTTATTGGCCTTTTTGTACAGGTGTATTTTGAATGTCTTTGCGAGAGGCAAACTGAAGGCAAAGTTTGAGCGGTCTAAACGACGTCTGGTACATAACAAATTAAAATTAAAACAACATCACAATAAACCTTATTTATTATATTTATCACCTGGAAAATTTGGACTTTGGAAATTAAGTATTATTCCGTCAGTAAAATAAACCGTCATACCATGTTAGCGAGTAGAATGTGACGCTAATCACGCTAATTGCGGAGTCCTTTCTAGAAAATATATTTTCTCAAGAGTTTCTATAAGAAAAACAAACATGAAATAACGTGTTGGTACTAGCTGCAACTCTTATCTGATATTGTAAAATTTAAGCACAGCCTTTACATGTAATTTTCTCAGTGTAGCGTTGAATCTTGTATCTCGAATTAAACCGGCGGCTATTTAACTAAATCAATACATCAACTGAAATGAACAACGGATACCCTCGTATAAAATGTTGCGGTTTAACCAAAAGACCAAAACTGCTCCAAATACGCAGCGATATATTTCTAAATAGGGAAAAGGCTCAGCAATTGTGAAACTTTTGATTGTAAAAGACCGGATCAGCCAATAAAGATCAATATACAACTCTAAAGAATGAATACCTTCCAACTGTGAAATAGGCCGGTTACATGTATCAAATTACGTACTCCTTGTGTTTTAAATAAATTACCAATGTTGCCTCAAATTACCCACGGTTTCTCAAATAGACACTGAAAAATATAGAGGAATAAAGACATTCTATAACTAAAACGAGCACAATGTATTTTGATCGTCAAACAAAACGATTAAAAAAAAAATTACTCACCCAAACGTTATACCTTGAAGTAACGCATCTAGTCACGCCAACTTCAAAAACGTTAATTTGATAAAGATTCTAAAACATGTAATTTAAACTTTAATTCGGCTCTGACTAGTTCAATTCTAGTCGATTGGGACACTTCACCAGTTTTAACTTCCACGTTTTCACCTTTGAACCCAAATCTAATAGTCTATAAGCGAGCATTCGAGCATTCTTCTAAGAGATGACCAGAGATGGCTGGACTCTGTAGCTAAGATTGAATACTATGAAGTACACTGATTAACCTGAACAAGAGGATATTACCAAGAATTGGTAATGAGTGGCCTCCATTTGTCGATCGATCTCAGCTACACGGGAATGGCCTCGTTGAGAATTGTAACCTGCGAGCAGACCCAATTTTGAGATCCATCACCCTTTTCAGATAAAAAAGGCCCCACCCACCCACCCACCCATCCATCCTCCAGGACGTAGGTGGCTTTTAGTCTGTTCTTTCACATGCACATTTGAACGGCTTGAATTGCGTCTACACGTCATTCTAATTATATTAAACCTTAATATACTGGAAGCAGGCAGTACAGGCCAGGCATTTTACACACGTAGAGTCTATTGAAAATAGGGAAGAATTGAAGAAAAAGCTTGTTTCACGCAAGACGTCTAAAAAACCTCATTCCTTTGATCTCCTTTCTGCCCCAAATTATGTGGAATATAAACTACAGTCAAACACCTATTAAACGGTCACCTATTAAGCGCCCACCTCTATTAAATGACCGTGGCTACCTATTTGGCCGTCCCGATGAGTGTTCCGCTATTGTTTTTACCCCTATTAAGCGGCCACCAGAATTTAATACACGTAGCCGTTTGGCCTTGTTTTAAAAAAGCTGATGACAGATAAGAGTCCGAAATAGATGGTGACAGCTCATAAAACAAATTTTAAAAATGCACATTTATTGTATCGTCTTGACGTGATTCCACCACTAATCTTTCGATTTTATACCACGCCTTATGCTAATTTATGACGAACCCCTTTTAAGCGGCCAAACCGCTTAATATGAGTTCGACTGTATATTACAGTGTATTTGCCAGAACTTAGAATTTGATGTGCCTTTACAACCCATTCGACGTAAAGCGCCATACATTGCCTTACGTAATGAAGCTGTTATTAGTCAATGCACCTGCCAGCTCTGACTGACCATTAGCCGATCAGTGGGAAAATACTTCGGATTGGCTACTGCCAGTACATACATGTCATACATAATGTTATGGTGGTTCAGGTTGCCCAACCGATATATATAAATTGTAAAATTTGTGTTTAACTAAATTATTATCCCCTAATTATCATAAGTGCGCCTGAGTGGTATGCCATTTCCGCCGTACGTTTCGCACGCTCAAGGAAGGTGGGGGGAGGTGGTGGTGGTGGTGGTGATGAAGGGAGGGGGGGGGGGGGGGGGGGGGGGGGGGGGGGGTGCGAAGTAGGGTTTGATATTTCTTGTGGAGAAATTTCCGGAGATTTGACCATTATGATACAAACAAAACAATATCCGTCAGTGTTAGGGCTAATTTTCGGTAATATCCTCTTGTTCAGGTTAATGTACTTCATAGTATTAAATCTCAGCTACAGAGTCCAGGCATCTCCGGTCATCTCTTGACCAAATTGAAAACGTGGAAATTGAAACAATGGTCAAGTGTCACAATCGACTAGAAAGGAACTAGTCAGAGCCGAAATTAAAGTTTAATTACATGTTTAGAATCTTTATTGAAGTTGCGTGACTAAGATGCGTTACTTGAGGTGACGATCAAAATACATTGTGCTCGTTTTAGTTATAGAATGTCTTTATTATTATTATTATTAATAATATTATTTCTGTCTATTTGAGAATTTGTTGAGTACAATGATAAACCGTGGGTAATCAGGTAATCTGAGGTAACATTGGTAATTTATTTAAAACACAAGGAATACGTAATTTGATACATGTAACCGGCCTATTTCACAGTTGGAAGGTATTCATTCTTTAGAGTTGTATATTGATCTTTATTGGCTGATCCGGTCTTTTACAATCAAAAGTTTCACAATTGCTGAGCCTTTTCCTATTTAGAAATATATCGCTGCGTATTTGGAGCAGTTTTGGTCTTTTGGTTAAACCGCAACATTTTATACGAGGGTATCCGTTGTTCATTTCAGTTGATGTATTGATTTAGTTAAATAGCCGCCGGTTTCGAGATACAAGATTTAACGCTACACTGAGAAAATTACATGTGAAGGCTGTGCTTAAATTTTACAATATCAGAGAAGAGTTGCAGCTAGTACCAACACGTTATTTCATGTTTACTTTTCTTATAGAAACTCTTGAGAAAAATATATTTCTAGAAAGGACTCCGCAATTAGCGTGATTAGCGTCACATTCTACTCGCTAACATGGTATGACGGTTTATTTTACTGACGGAATAATACTTAATTTCCAAAGTCCAAATTTTCCAGATGATAAATATAATAAATAAGGTTTATTCTGATGTTGTTTTAATTTTAATTTGTTATGTACCAGACGTAGTTTAGACCGCTCAAACTTTGCCTTCAGTTTGCCTCTCGCAAAGACATTCAAAATACACCTGTACAAAAAGGCCAATAAATTGTTTTAAAAATATAATTTTTAAAATATTTTCAAATGCATTTAATGTCCAGCAATATATTAAAACGTCTACAAAGTTTGATGTCCATTGGGAATGTTTTACGCTTTCACCATCTTCCTAAAGTTGCGTGATGATTCGGCCGTTTCGCAAGGCGAAAACAGCTAATTTGCATAATTTTCGAACTTTTCTCAAATTCAGCCGAAAAAAAAATCGCTGGAACTTTTTGATATTTTTCCCTGGACTAGTTCACCCAAAGGGATGTTTTGGCGAAATTAAAAAAAATTCGAATTTTCGCCACTGATTTTCGATTCTTGATAATTACAGGCATACGCTCTTAAATCTAAAATGACCACCATTAGAGTTTCCTCGCGGTCAGTACCTTTTAGGGTATATGATGTCACAGGAATTACTTGACAGAAA